GGACCTCGACTCGTCAGCGGTTGAAAGTGCTGAGCAGCCTGAGCAGGTATGCGTTTCCAACTACAGCAACTTATAAAGATGAGTTGAACTCTTCAACCAAACCCCACATGCAAGAGTATCAATAAATTGACTATCCTGTGGGGAAGGGGGGCACTCCCTGTAATGACCTATACGGGGCAGTCCCTTTTTCAATCTTGAATATATAAAAGGGGAGGAATTTCATAAGTTGAAGTATATGAAAGGGTAGGGAAGTCTGTCCTTCAGGTATTTAAAAGGGTTTATAGTTAAGACATTTCGAACAGATTTACCTTGTGGCGGTAGCATTTCATGCATCAAATGCTGCAAGACTATTGTTCATGAACTTCATTTCAGGATTTAGAAAAGGGATGTGGTTTTCTTAAGTAGGTATGTGAAAGGGGTACCATTTTCAAAGGAAGGTATACGAAAGGGGTACGTTTTGTGTCAAAAATGGTATATAAAAGGGTAAAGGGTTGGACCTTGGGGCGCAGCCTCCGCAAATAAAACTTTGTTGAGTGCCTCCCCCATCTCCCTGTGTTGACTGCTGACTATGTCTAGCTGTTGTTCTTAAAGCCAGTTAAAGTATACTTTGAATAATAATTTAATTGTAAACCCTTAGGTAGTTTTTAGCCATCTAATGAGCAGTTAGCTAATGCATTAAAATGGAAGTAGTATTAAACCACCCAGACACAAATATAATTTTGTTGTTGATCGTTAAGCTTCACAGCCAGGGCAAAAAATCTTTACAATAACCTGTACCTATTTCTGTGGAAATCATATTTGGGATATGATAGTCTGCATTGTTGATTGCATACATGAGCAAGCAGTTGAAAGTATAGTGAAAATGAGATACATCTGGGTGTAATCTCGTACCCAGATCTCCCACGGCCAAGGGAAAGGGAGGATCTCACTTTTCAGTGTAAAACAGAGTGAGATCTGGGTACGAGATTAATCTGGGTGTTGTCCTCACACTTGAGGCTCACTTTAAGATGAGGCGCCTGTCAACACATTTTTCCAGTTTTACTGGGGGGGGGGGGGGGGGGGGGTTGGGTTTTTGAAGTAAACGGACTTATGTTAACCGCTTTTTTCAAGGTCCAAGACAATGTACCTACAGTGACTGTGAAGTGCCTACACCCTTTCCATCTTGTAAAGTTGAAAAATAATTGAATCAGTTAGGCACTTGATATATAAAAATATGTGTTACGCCGATAATCTTTTCCATCATTTGCATTCACAGTGTAAAAATAAAAATATTAAACAATATTAACGCTAAAAACGGTAACTCAAACTTAACTCTAACTCAACTCTAACTCGTAACTCGATCGTTATCCTATCTCCAAATTTTCAGGCCCTAGGTGATGCATTCTAGACTACATGGATTGAGTTCGTCGAACGTAATCGAACTCACACAAAAATCGATCGGTCAATCGAACCCAACCGCACAATCGAACGCTCAAATTCCCAACTCTTGATAGAGAGACGAGATCACAGAGGAAACTTGCGAAGTTACTTCCTGATCAGTTGCTCGTTCTCTGTGATTTTGACCTTAGGAAAAAGAAAACAGTCTTACCACTTCATTTACTGTTTCTACTTTCCACCATGACAGTGATTTCTTCTCGGATATCCAGTAAGCCAGAAAGCAGACCGTCGGGAACTTTGTAGCTTCAAAAGGATTGAGGCTACGACAATGAAAATCAGGGAGTCAATAGTAGACACGGAAGTCTGTAAATTGAAAATGAGTCGAATGATAAATAACGTCATATAATGCGGTAATAACATTTATTTCGGACCGCCGCCATCTTGGATCCGCCATTTTGATCAGTGGCAAGAAGGTTTCAACGTTGCTGAAAAGAAGTTAAGCTGTATAAAATAATGGGAAAATAATTTACACGGTCATTAAACAGCTAACTTTGTTAAATCTAAACATTTATGTGGTCCCTCTAGATAAACAATACTCCAATTCCTTGAAGATTCATGCGGCAAGCAACAACAGAATCAATCGTGCCAAACACCATAAAAAAAAGAAACATGGCAACTAAACCCCACTGAACAGACTTGCAACACGGTTGGGTTCAGGCAGTTTATTGTAGCATATAATACTTATTTACATAAAATGGTAATACTAACTAAATATAACCTGGTTGAAAACCTAGGCCCATAAATCAACTTACAAGACACAAATCAAGGAAATCATAACTGCCTGTGGAGTGGGTGGGTGGGAAAGCAAATTGTAATACAGCCGAAAAGACTCGTTGTCTCACTATTGGCTTGTAAAGCTAAATGCTAATCATACATTCCTGGAGCGTGGCTAAATAACTCTCTTATCTTAGCGGCTGTCATGCGGTCATACGCGCCCTTCCGGCCGCAGGGATGCTCGCGGTTGCCTTTCTCCCACGCTGGTTGTCCATTCACGGGTCTAGATTTATATTAATAGGGATTAATATCCACTGAAATTAAATTGCTTGGTTTGCTGCAAAAATTACGCTGCCAAGGGAAAGTACATCCTATTAACGGCTCTTGGCCACTGTAAATGAGCTGGATATGAAAGGTTTACACCCTCAAAACCCTTTAAGCTTCATCGTTAACAGTTAACTAGTTTCTCATTTGTTTGTTTCTAATAATGCTACACAGTTTTTATAAAGCTCAAACTGTAAATTGAATTAGTTTTAGGCGCGCGTGATATTGTCAGTATTCAGATTGCAAGTCAAACACTTAAGCCGCTTGCTCCCTAAGATCGGGGAGAGCTAGCAGATTTCTTGAAAGCTGCGGATTTGCCTTTACCGTAGCGCAGAAAGAGGTAGTGTCACACCTAAGAGAACGTGAATAAACAACATGTAGACTGTTCACAGTCCTCTATTTTTCTGTAAGATCGTCGAGATCGAGCGCTTTGCGTTTCGGGCTGCATCTTGCATGAGTGTCAAAACTACTTAGGGGGCAGGGGGCGGTTTGGGAGGAAGCGAGAAAAATAGAGGGACTGTAATAACATCACTGCAGCTCGCGTTCTGGAGGCGTGACAGGAATTTCACGCCTTTTACCATTCATTAATTAAGAAACTCCGCTGGCGATGAAAAACATGCCAGACACATTTAGCATCGATTACGCGTGTTTACAAATACCTCCTTTCGAAACAGTGATTTTATAATGTTTCTAGGTCATTCCTACAAATAAAATCGGCAAACAGGCACAAGAGAAACATTTTCCTAATCGAATCGCTAAGCATGCTCACTTGACCATAGACTAAAATGGTTAAAACGTCCCGATAAAAAGCCAGGCATTTCTGACAGGTCATCTATTTTGCGTCGGCGTTGTGTTAAATTTCAGTTCGTTTGGCAGAAACTGTGTTACAACATTCCCGCGGCCGGGCTGCTTCCAAAGCATGTTGGCTTACGTGATTCATCCACAAAATACCAAAAATCGTTCGTGTGTTTGCGCAAGTTGTACCTTATGGTATGAAAGCGTGCGTTTTATAGAAACGACGACTTGTCAAAGACTTGTCAGTGTCGGCAACTTAAACTAAACCCGTTGTCAACGCAAATTAACATCTATTGTCTTATGACTAATCAAGCGCCTGCGTTGCTGGTACAACGCGCTCCGTGAACGCAAACTGCAGTGATGTTATTACAGTCCCTCTATTTTTCTCGCCCACCTCCCCCTAGAGCTATAATCCCCGACGCCCGCCCCCTCGGTACATTTGAAAACCAAGATGGCTGTCATTAAAAGACGCGCTATATCTCAACGATCTCACGAGAAAATAGGGGACTGTGAACAGTCTAAACAACATGTGACAAACACAACACCTAACTGCTCCTTTACTGCACTTGCGTTACCCGTGTTCTGTGGTTTGATTTCCCCTCAGTAAATGAGTCATGCTCTTGCTCGCAGCCATCTACGATAGGTCTTCCGTACATGATACTAGCATAGTCGAACTGATAAAACAAATGGACCCTCGGGACCACGTAATTTGCTGAAGCAAATTTTCTTCCATCCAATACATTTTGAATCTCCACCTACCGTGCCGGATTTGGCGTTTTTCAATATCCCTTCTTCTCTTCGAATTAGCTCACCACTCTCATTTTACTGATGAATGCAAATTTTAAAAGAGTGGTAACAAATTTATCATTACCGTGCTGTTAATTTCTCACATGTCAAGCTATTTTTGAAGAGATTTAACTGAATACAATAACGTGGAGACAGAAGACCCAAAACCTCACAGCGACAGGTACAAAATCTGGATTACTCTAGTTTCTCAAGCTTGCCAGTAAGCGCCCCTGAAATAAACGGACGATTGTATTTTTTCTCTTCATCTTCTTTTCCGCACAAACTTTAAGCAACCTTGATTTATCATTACTTCAGTTATATAACATTTCTCATTTAAACCAATACACAATGCAGAGAAAACATTACCGCGAAAGCAGCAACAATCTAAATCCACACGCGACGATGATCGTTTAACAGGCCCCATTATTTAATACTTCCCCAGGTAGGTAATCCGTTAAAGCTTATAAAACGTTAAAATAACTTCCATATTTCCCCTACGTTTATCGTTTTTAGTGATTATGTTACAACTAGTAATAGTTGACACTACAGCTGCCCCCGCTCTGTATATTGTCGGTCAATAGTATTCTTGCTCGTTGTGTAGCTCTTTGAAATATACCGATTTATAATGAAGATTTTCACACATATTCCATACAGTAGGTGAGATAAATACTTCTCAAACTCATTAATAATTCATAAAGAAAATTCAAAGGAAATTAATGTTTAATGAGTGTTTGGATATCGGATGAAAAACTGCTCATTTTTGCATCCTTAATTTCTCCTTCAAAAATGATTTTGTTTGAGAAGAAATATCAAACATTCGACACAGTGTTTCATCACCAGATGAAACACCTCGAAGTTCGTCAAAAATACTCCGCTGCGCGTCGTATTTTCAACTCTCTTCTCGGTGTTTCATCAGGTGATGAAACACTGCGTCTCATGTTTGATATATTACAGGAAACGCAAGGTTCCATGCACAGTTTCAGTTCGATTTACACAGCTTTGATCAAAACATTCTCAGTCTTATTTTAAACTTCATTGTCGGCGAATTTCTGTAATCTTCCATCGTTCTGCTAGTGATAAGCTAGCAGTTGTTCACTCGTCTTGCTTGTTTGGGGCTGAGTCTTACTCCAGTCAAAGAGAGAGAAAGAGTGTCTGGCAAGGTTTCTAATCAAAGATTTGTGAACTCGTGTCTGGCAAACTCTCCAAGTGTTTATATATACACAGTTATACGCACCTTATAACTTCATCTGCGCTTAACGAGCGCCTTTTGGTCCATAACTTTCAAAACAACTGCTCCACAGAATGTCACTGATAACACGTAACCCCGGGCACGTAACGCAAAAGAGTATCGAAGTATGACTGCACAATAAATGTCACAAAATCTAACTATTAAAGGGGTCCCTTCGGGATTTCCGTCTTTACGTCATCCTAACCATTTCGCACTTGCGGACGCAAACAATAGAACCGTCATCATTACCTACTGATTACTCGCGGCCCCTGTTCAAGCAAATCGAGATTTTTTCTGGCATACTGACTATATATTTCAACTGTAAGTACTTTCCTTAATATACGCGCGAGTTACTAGAGTGCTTTCTCGGGATTTCGCCTTCTGAGCGAAAATCCCTTCGGGGGCAAAATAGCCTCCCCGCAGACGTCCTTTGGGGTTCGTTTGTCACGCATTCATTTCTCCCCTAATATCACTGAGCGTTACAGCAGGAATACCAATATTTTCCAGCTTTGTAGATTGATCTTTCAAGATTTACCAGGGGAGAAACAACATCAACAGTAATGTCCAGTAGTTCCACGCAATATGTCGCACACAAGCAGCAAAGCTTGAGAGATAAGGGATTTGCCAAATCCCGTCGGCAAATTTATGAACTCATCGGTTTTCGCTATAAAATTTGCAGGATAGCTTCTCTCTGATACTTGTTTAACTCTGTATTAATTACAAATTTCTAGCACACTCGATCAAAAGCCTCACTGATCGTGCGAATCTTAAGAAGCTGCTCGGGTTACGTTTTACAAAAATCCGTAAACGGCCTGTGATTGGTGAACGTAAAAGTTGGCTCTGTTTAGCAGACGTCCGTGGGGGAGAAATGAATGCGTGACAAACGAACCCCAAAGGACGTCTGCGGGGAGGCTAGGGGCAAAAACGCCTTAAGCATAAGCATTAAAGTAAGCCTCGTTTCCATGCTGTAATAAACAAGGGTCTCGGGAACTTTTGATAGGTTATTAAGGATAGTTTTCTGAATCTAAAACAGCTGGAATATCTTCTGTTGCAGTTAGTGCGAGGTTAATCTACTTTTTTCTACAAAATGACTGGACTATCGTCGAACTGATAGAAAAAAGAACTCAATCGAGCTTAATAAATGTATTGAGTTTGATTAAGTTCGATTGAGTTCGATAGCCGAACGTTCGATTGACTACGCCGGGGATTTTTAATAAGATAAATAAGGCTTTAATTTGTAGCTTCTGTATATTCCCCCTGCTTTACGATCCGTTTCTAATATTGTATTGAGTTTTGGACCGAAATTTCCGGAAATTTTGTTTGAATGGATCGCGCCCATAGAGTGACTAATTTGACCACTGCTTTATAATCCGTTTCTAATATTGTACTGAAAAGACCGTTTATAAACAAAATTGTGGTGTCCTGTCCTTTTGGCATAAACTATCTCAGATTGCTAACGAAATAGTTCATCCCAGAAAGACAGCAGTGTGTTTACATGTAATAGAATTTCAAGGCAAGATACTTTCCTGTGTTTCACAGCCTGATACATATCATAGTCTTCTGCATTGCTGTTAGGTTTAAGATGTACCATTAGTACCCAGAAGGGATAGCGCCCCGGGGTCCCAAAACAGTCTCATAGTGCAGTTCGACAGAGCACTGACCCAGTCTCTCGAGCAACATCAAAATGCGGCCTGGGATCAAGGCTTGGCAGCACAGCACCAGGTGGAGTTTCCTAATCAGAATTCGCCATTTGCACATCTCCCATAATACACCTTGTTTGCCCCCAAAATTTTGTATTTTTCATTTCTCCTGGGCAAACAAGGTGAATTTTGGGTGCAGTGCAAGTGGCCAATACACCATGGCGGAAAACTTAATCCTATGTGCCTTTTATATTGGAAAGTTGGAGAAATTGCCCAACAAACAACACTGCTCCATACCTACGATTTTGAAAGAATGAAGATTCAGCCGTTGGGACATGATATTACAGACAAACATTCTCCAACAAATTTCTTGAAAATTACAGGAAGCTTGCGGGACTCATCGGGATCCTTTCATCAGTGACGCCTGTTGTTTTTCACAGCCATGTTTTGATGAGGCTGCAAACTTGTCCTATAAATTGGGTGGGGGGGGGGAGGAGGAACTCTGATTACGGTTCATTGCCGGTCGGCGAACATGAATGTTTGAGATCTTGCGGATCTTAGGTGAAGGAAGGTGGTTTCCGAGGGCCCGGTTCCTGAAAGGCCGATGAGCGCTAATGAGGATTAAAATTTTGTTCCACTTTTTGTATTTACCTTCCTATGCATTGCTTAGAGTAACATTTCTGTTATCATAACTGTATCTCAGAGTAAAGGCTCAACAGTATTTCGTAAGCTGGAGTTACATACGTGTTACATGTTCTCAGACAAGAAACCCGTGCTTAAAATTTGGCTTTATCTTGGGTTAAACTTAACCATCTTTCGAGGAACCAGGCCCTGGCCAATAATTTTTACTCGTAGAATAAACATTCAGTGGAAAAATGTTCAATTTCCTTTTTATTCGCTTTCTGCAAAAAGTTGTCAGAGTTCTTGGAATACAATTGCTACTCTATTTTTTAAATCTGCTTTTAAGCCCTATATAACAAATACTTAAACATGTTAACGATACCAGACTGAAAGAATAACAAGAACAATACGAAAAATACTTCAAACATTTACCTGCAATATTAAAAGTTAAAGTAAAATATATCTTGTTTCAGTGTTCAGCAATTTGGAATTTTAAACCGAAAAAAAAAAAATAAGAATAAGATTTTACAATGTACAATCCTTCCTTTCCTCGAACAATAAAGGAAGTTTACGTAGGCATCCCCTGCTTCAACGCTTCCTTCATGTTGTTTCTTTTCTTTACCGACTGTGATAACTCAATTATATCTGTTGACCATTCATATCCTCGGCACGGGTGGCTACAATTCCTTTCCTAGGACTTAAGTTTAATATTTTTCATTGCAAGTCGACAGACGATTTCTCCAGTGCCGTAGATAATCCAAAGCATTGATCCACCTAGAAAAACGACTGACGTTAGAGAACGGTTCAAAAACTAAGTATAATGATATCAGCTTTAGTCACAAGATGCTCTGTGCTTGGTCAAACCTGGGTCCCACTGTCAGCAGTGGTGTCATCGAGAGAGACTCCAGGCTTAATGTTAATGCTGACCAATTGTAACAAGTGCGGACAATATGATGAGCCAATCAGAATCAAGCGCGGAAAAACGCATGTCACAGTATAGATGGTTCGAGATTTTAACCAATAGGCCATTTCCGAGTTCCCTCGGGGCCTCTGTATCAAAACGAGGTTAGGTGCTCAACCTTTCTTGTGGAAATGAGTTTTATTTGCATGAGAATGAAAAATCATTTCCATATCAAAGGTTGAGCACCTAACCTCGTTTTGATACAGAGGTCCAGGGGATCTCGGAAATGGCCTGTTACTAACTGTGGCAATACAAACCAAGGCAATTGCAAAATTACCTTAGGGGCCCAATTAAGAACAACTCTAACGCAACGTCCAAGGCAAAAAGATACATTCCACGAATACTATGCAATCGCGGAGCTATGGTTTGATTATTTATCTCTTGCATACTGTCAAGGAATAGACCCTTTTAGCTTGTATATTTTATTTTCCCAATTCAGACCACGTGATATTCTCAAGGGAATTTGCTTTTCCGGCTATGCATGCATATGCACATGGATAGTGCGGCATTTGTAAGAAACAGTTCTCATAAACAAAAACAGACCATATCTAGGAATTCCAAACAATAGTTTATATGAACGGTACCTTAGCTTTTCCTCTTCATCGTGCGCCATTAACTGGTACGTTCGGGTGGGCGTCACCACATTAAAACATGCCTTGTTAATGTCTTGCTGTGAAGGCGGTTGGTCCTGAACAGCGATCACTACATCAAGATCAATGAATCTGAGACAAAACCACGAAAAAAGAATTTAGTCGTTTAGTCTTATGGCATTGATGGTACATTAAACAGTTTACTGAAGTCTAAGAGGAAAGATTAATATGTTATCATTATCGCTTCAACTATTATGCACGATTGCGCAATGCATGATTTCTAAGGAGCAACATCAAGTCACGGGTGTAGAGTGGCATCTTTGCACACAGCCAAAAAACACGAATCGTCGGTTTGCTACCTCGACTGAACAAAAAATCAATAAATTATTTGAAGATAAAGACTCCGAAAGTTTAAAAAGATACACCAAAACTGCACAGGAAGTCTTCCATGGACGGTGTAAAATTTCTTTAATCGCATATTCGTACCTTCTTTTTTGGAAAATAATATAGTGAGCTTCATATGACTGAGCGATGGTCGTTACTTTCTTTGATGAGTGTCCGGTGGGGGGCGGGGGGTATTCCCTTATAAGGGCTCAATGGGGACGTACGGCCAGCCAGGGTATGTTTTTCGGGATTTTTGTCTTAAACAGGGTATCGAATTTATCATTTTTTGTCTTAATTAGGGTATCGATTTATCAATTTTTGTCTTAAACAGGATATCTTTTCTTGGACGATAAACAGCAAAATTTTTACAAGATTTAATGTTAATTAAATGTCTTAAACAGGGTATCAAAAATCGGAATTCTGTCTTAAACAGGGTGGGAAAATCAGCGATATTTGTCTTAAACAGGGTCAGGGTATGAGGGACCGCGCCGCACCTCCCCACCCAGGGATATATCGAGTACCCCCCCCCTCGGGGATGAGTGTTTATCAAAACAATCATTAGATGATTGTAATATACGGAATTATCAACGCATTGGTAAGTATTATAACTTTCGGCTGATAATAACATCTTCCACGTATCACAAAAACCTCATCCAAAAATATTTTATTATTAGACTGCAGGAGGTAAAACAGAGCGTAGCGTAAACTGGGTTCACACGGAAGACGCAACTCAGCTCCGATTAGCACAAATTACACAAGATAAGTTGTAAGAAAAAATCCGTCTTACGTTTAAATTAGGACTTTGTTTGTACCCTTCATCAAATCAGCAAAGGAAGGAAATTCTGAATCAGACTAGGTTGAATATTGGTTTAACCTGAGAATAGATTTCGCCTACAACAGATACAGTGTATGCAATAGAACGAACTGTCCGTTTGTTCAAAACATGACATTTTCTGTCCATGAAAATGAGCTGGCTATTGTATACAATCTCACTATTCACCACTCCAGTAAACTACAGGGCGAATGGATACAAGCTGTCGGGGCAAAGATTTCTAGAATCGTTTGCGTGGACACGCGCTAGTTATAAATAATCCATAGTATCCAAGGGAATAGCCCGCGAACAGCAGACGCATTTCCGGTCGTCGCTTCTCTCCCTCCGAAAAATAGCGACGCTATTTCCGACGACCGGAAATGCGTCTGCTGTTCGCAGGCTACCAAGGGAATCAATCAACCAATCATAGCTTACATTGTACACACACACGATCCCAACAATCTTTGTGCTAAAGACTTGGTACCCATTTTCGATATAAATTATGAAGTGAAGAATTATGATTGACTGCAAAAGGACCTTGTTCGACGAGTTTTCCCGGTGTCACAAGATACCCAGCTACGTACCCTCTAGGCAACGTGTTGTTGTTTTTCTGATAATAATAGAGCCTGCCATTTTTATCAGTAGAAAACCAGCGGCGTCTCCATCTTCTTCCAGTGAATCCTTTCACACCTCTCTTACATAGCCAGCCTCTAACTTGACAAAGCTGAGAAAAAATCAGTAAACAGCTTAAAGGCAACGTCTTTTATATACTCCTCCCGGTCTCTGCACATCCAACGCCGCCGTCAATATTACTGGCAGAGTCTAACTTCCCTTCTTACGAGGTTTCAACGTCCGTGTATGAATGTCGCTTAAAGGTCTAAAACACTAATAATAATAGTAATAGTAATAATAATAATAATCAACTTTATTTAACGAGGGTAACACGGGACAGTACTTCAACTGAATAACTAGTGGCATGAGTTTTCAAATTAAAAAAAAAAAACACAGAAGAGGGAAGATATTTTGACCTGCGCGGTCAAGTATTGAATTACAAAAGCAGAAAAAAGTATGGCCAATAAATAGCTGCCGATAGGCCTCTCCAAAAAATACTATAATATTCTTTAAAGGGCAGGTTAAGCCTCGCATTCAGGAGGAGTCCAAGTCCAACGTCCCATTTTCGACACGAAATATGCATGCACTTCAGCTATTTCTTGGCAATTTACATAATACTTGAAGCGCGTCTGAAAACGAACCCACCATTGCAACGTTGGCATAAAGGCGCCTTCAAAATCTCAAAACATAATACCAACGTTTCACTTGTACGGTAGTATCAAAGGGGCATATCATGCAAATGGAAATCGAAATAAGGACGTTGCACTCCTACTTAATAGGAGAGTAGACCTGCACTTAAAAAAAAATTATGGTATTTTTCTAAATGTCTATTAAGGCGTGAGTAGCAAAAATTTCAGTTGCAAAATCATTTCTTACCTCAAATTTCTTAGCATTCGATTTACCTCCCTGCATTTTAAGAACATTAGCAGTGCGTTAAAAAAGAAAAACCTTACAATTATATTTGTCATGAGCTGAGTTTTAATAAAAGCCCTTGCCTTACAAAGAAAGCGAGAATATGTATTTTAGGCCAAAGCATCAACTTAGATTATTTAGATTAATACTGCTGTAGTCTGTGTTACCAGAATTGCGTAAACAAGGCAATGCTATAAAGCTGAATAATGAGTGAGAACGCTGAGGTTACATGTACCATTTTACTTCGCCCAAAATTCCACGTTCAATTGAAAATAAGACATCCTCATCTTCATATTATTCAGTATTTAAGCCTAATTGTATCGAAAGAAATTTTATAGCAAATACAACTGAAGAGAAGCTGCTGATCATAATAATATGACAGCGCGCTTAAAGAGAAATAAATGTGGAGAAGCCGGACTGTGGGAGAGAATAAATCTATCCTGTACTCCACCCCAAGAAGCATGCGCAGTGGCAGATTTAGGACAGTGGCCCGAAAACCTGGGTCCCCAACTTATTTTTAGGCCAAACTGAGGCACTTAGGGTTAAGATTAATTTATCCTTATCATAGGAATTAGATGAGCGGACCTCCCATTAACTTAAAGGGAACCTCCACTTCAACAAAAAGATAACTTTAAATCACAGGAAATAACTGTTACAGTCAAGTCAATCTAAAATATTTTTAAAGAAAGCGTTTGCATCCGAAAGAAATAACTTTTAGATTCGCCTATTTTTGTTTTCAAATTTTGCGGGCGTCGCCATCTTGAATAATTGTGACGTGTAATGGTTGCCCTATTGTTATTAAACAAAAGCTCTTTGTGTCAGAACAATAGAGCAACCGTAACACGTCACAATTAGTCAAGATGGCGGCGCCCGCGAAATTTGAAAGTGAAAATAAGCGATTCTAAAATTCACTTTTCCTGATATAAACACTTTTTTTAAGACAAATTTCAAACAAATTTGTTTATCAACATAATTTTATTCGATTTAAACTTATTCTGTAGTAAGAGTGGAGGTTCCCTTTAAAGACCTGAATCCGCCACTAAAAGTGAGCGGCACACGATAGAAAGAGGTCGAGGTTGGGATAAACAATTTCACAAAAAGCACTGTATTTTTTGTCTTAGTTCATACCAGAAACTCTTGCAAAAAAAAAAATTGTAAAGGATTGCTTAACTCATTGGTTATCGACACAGCAATAACTAGGAAAAACAAACAACTTGGCAAAAAATCAAGTTACGCAAGACATCCTTACCTCAATACTAGAGGAAACGTTTTGCTTTTCCTTTGAGTTGTCCAGCTCTGTTTCCGCTCGCTGGAGCTATAAGGCGTTCAAAGGATGATTAAAAAAGACTCACAAAGACCGTCAACATCAAGCAATCTACAAACATCCCAGGAATTTAAACGGAAAACATCGTCATAATTTTGACATGGTATACATTGAGGACAGACGGTTGTGCTTTAAAACAGTCCTCGGGTCCAAATAAAAAAGAACGACCCAATTACAGCAACCCTTGACTCTTGCTCCAATCTCGTCCCCTGAGCCTCCGTTACTTTTGTACCGTGGATTTTAGTAATCCCCGTCGCTGTACAAAAGGATCGCGGCCTCTGGGAACGAGACTGGGGAGGCTCTAAAAAGCTCTAATAACGCTAATGCTCGACATGCTCCAATTACCGCCCAGAGGGGCGTTTTTCTGTTTCTTGTTTTTTTTATTTATGTTTTGAGTGGAGAGGTGGCGACCCTTACGTCACTCTTCAAAATTTCAGCATGAAGGTAACATTTGTATTTTTTCTTTGGAAAAAACTGTAAACTGAATTAAAAAGAAAAACTAGAATGTATCTTTCAGCATATACACAATTTTGTGGGTGCGTGTGGTGCACATTCTTGGCTTTGAACGTTTTGTTGTAACTCATTTCCGTCGCTAACCTCAAGCACTATTGTCAAGGGAGCCGCTTCTTTAACATCTATCAGTTTGATGTCCTCCAGTGGTCATTCTGCAGTGATTGTGCATTCTATGCCACATTCATTAAAGATATAGAGGATATTACATGGCCCCAAGGAGATACGAAATTTCTCTTCGAGTGAACGAGTGAAATATTTTTCAACGCGAGAAGAGGAAATTTGTATCTCCAAGAGGCCATGTAATGTTCTATTTATTATATAAACACCAATGAAATGCCAACCCAATTTGAGCATTTACGCCTACACGAAGTAGTATAAATAATGCATTCGTTCCATAATTCAGGAAAGTACGCCAAAGAAGACTTTCGCCGATCGCCTTTTTTTCTAACCTGCGCTTTCAAATCTTCGACTAGTAATTGTAACTCTGAAATCTCCCCTTGTAATTCATCTCTTTCTTTGATAAAGTCCGTGTTTTTGAACTTGTTAAGTAGCTGCATCTGTTCAAGTTCGGACTGGAGCTCCGCCTTCTCATTTTCCAGGTCAGTAACTTTGGTAACGAGTTTCTGGTTCCAAGCCTTAAGATCCATGTTCTCCTTCTCCAGTTTTCTACAAGCAAAAATCCGTGAAATAGAAAATAAACACCAAGGATCTCGATAAAAGCGTACTCTAAAGCTACATACGAAAAACCTCTGACATCACTTAACGCCCCCACCCCACCCCAGCCGGCACGAGCAAGAAAAACAAGGGATCCCACAAGTTTCTAACTTGCGTAATTGGCGGTGTTGTTGGAACACGATGTAAACTTCTCGGGAAAAAACCAGCTGAACGGGTATCAGAAAGGAGAAAAACCAACTTTATTATTCTTCACGCAACATCAGTGGTAATTTTCCTACATCGAGCTTCGGGAAAACCGTCAGCTACAAAGCCTAAACTGAGGAACAAGTTTCACGATATGAAGTTATTCAGTTTTGCACTTACTCGGCTCTCATTTGACTGTCAGTATCTTCCATCACACTTTCCTTCAGCCATTCTGAAACTCGGCTTTTAGGGCTCTCCGGAGGTAGTCCCTGTAATAAACAATAATCAAACCAAAATCAAACAGAATTTTGAATCTTTTACAGCAGTTGACCGGTAGCTGCTATGTCTTGAGTAGCAGGTACGCATCCGACATACACTGCACATCTCTACGGTGTAATCTTTGTAACTGTAAAGTGTAAATATCATTTGTAAACACACGAAAAACCTAAAGAGCGCTCTTACGGGATTTGAAAATGTCGGGTCAGTTTTGGAGAGAAAGGAAAACTGAAGCACCCGGAATTAATTAACCTCTTGGATCAAAGAAGCTAGAGAACGAACAACAATCTCAACCCACGGTCGCCACTTCGCTGGGAGGAGCAATACAACAAGAAGGATCTTCATACTTGAAACAAAGTTTGCCTACATTACATTCTGTAAAAAGACGTTACTTTCAGGACGTCTTCTTAAACGCCTCGTGTCTAGTATGTTTATTTATTCAAAAGAAATTTACAGTTATAAAATGCAGGTCCACCCGCAAATAACAAGGGCTTACTACGAGGTGTATACTGTATAGCCAAATGCTTATTAATACGTTCGTTGTTACAATAAAGGAACAGTGAACAGATACATTTAAACAGGTGCACACATGAAACAAATTAAAAATTAAATCTGGCAAAAAGAGAGGATAAACGTCCTTGTATGGGAGTTAGATCCAAGGTTTCTTGACTGATTTTAATACAGGTTAACAACAGAGTATCCGTGGTAAATACCTGGATATCTCCCGGGGTATCTTCGGACTTGGACTGCAGAAGAAAAAGGAGCACGAAAAATACATTGATGAGAGACCATAGCGGATGCGAGTAATATAATTGTATTTCAGCAGATCGATATTATGTTGCGGAAGTAACTCAGAATTGCGGGCAACAAACATCGTGACAGTCGCTTATGCAGCCTGTCACAAACATCTACGTTGACTTAGCGGAAATAATCGTGGAATATTTTTACGCCCATCGAACGTTCAACCTTAATAGCGAGCAACGTGAGAACCTTATTTCTTCTTACAACAGCACTTTTTACTCAACATGTACATGTTAATCTCGAGAATAAAGAAAATGAAGAAAATGAACTCAAATTCCCATGATTGGTAGTAAAAAAAAATAAACGGAAAACATTGTGGAGAATATACTTGTTGATGTTACTGCTTAAAGAGTTGAAGGCGCGTCTCTCCTTACCTTACTTCTTCCTTTAAACGAAAACTTGTTTTTGAAAGAACTTAACGAAGACACTGGCGAAGTGGATAGGTTTAGAGACGGGCTCTGCTCCTCTTCTTCATCACATTCTGTTAGATCTTCCAGTGCGGCACTGACTACTTTTCTTCTCTCTCTGTTTCTTTCCAAGAGTTTACGGCTGTAGCTATCGGACTGAGCCTGTAAATCTGTCTCTAAGTCTGCATTTTGGTCAGTTTCACCTATAATAAAGGGAGATAATATCGTCACAAAATAGTGTGTAAGACTTCAAACATATGATGGCTTTACTAAATAACACAATCGAACGTCCCGTAAGCGGACACCCTGGCTTGCACGCAGACACAGTATGAATTAACGACACTGAGTTCCCTTACCTAATGTAGTCATACGCGCAGTAACAAATTCTAGTTCTAAAACACGAATTTTTTCACTTTATATATCATCTAAGCATGGGTAGAGTACTAGGCTAGCATCAAGTCAACTTATTATATTGATCGGGTCAGAACTAATTACGTTAAATTTAATATACACTTCTCTGGTCCTTCTGTTTGGAATAATCTGGATGAAAATTTAAAAAGTAGTTCTTTGCATTTATTCAAGCAAACGATGAACGCAGATCTTTTACACTAACTGTTGATGCAGGCTAGCATGTATGCCAGTTACCCTTATTAATGTAAACTTCATAATTCTCTGGTACCGTTTTGTTTCTGTTTGTTTGTTTGTTTTTTGTTTTATGTTGTTCTACAGTATGTCATGTTATTTTAATTAAATTAATTAATCTACCTATTTTTCATTACTATTATTTTTTTCTCCTACATTCAAGATATTTTCCTTTTTATCTTTCGTGTGTCACCACCCTATAAAATGTAATTTAATCGGTATTGCAACTTCTCAGCTCGTATAGTTTTTTACCTGATATATTTTAATTCATTCTTTTCTTTGTAAGTGTTTTTTAAGTTGGCAAATAAAATGGTTGGTTGTTGTTGTTTGTTGGTTGTACGGCCTTGGTAAAGTGATGGACGACTGAGTTAAAGGGACTATGTCATGCTATTTGTTGTCTTTTCAAAAAGCTTAAACTTTTTTCGCATTAATTGAATTCCAAAAAAATGGTCCAGTGTTTTTCATTATTTAAGGCGATATTTCGTCTGTTGCCACGGGTGGCAAGAATGCGCACGGAGAATGAATGGAAACTTGAAATAGCAGCTCATAGCAAGGAACTTCAACAAAATGGCCAGGTTAGATGGACGGTTTAATATTTATTGTCTCACCTTGACTGACGTCATTAGTTGGAGTATCAGCTAGAGGATTACCAATCACAACTAGATTTTTATATTCCAGCGTTTTCATTTCATCGATGAATTGAGACCAGGTACTGTAAGAGAATAAGGTGATGTAATCACGAAAAACATCCTTTTAATTTTTTAGTTACCAGAATGATCCTTCAACAAATTAAATGCACAAAACTTTGGGACCAAGTCCCAGTAATTGTATGACAAAAAAATGGTACATTGATCAATTCATTGTCTGACTGACTAGTTAGATGTTTGTTTCGTTGATTGATTGATTGATGATTGATTGGTAGGACGGACACACGGAATGAGAATCCGACGAACGGACGGACGGACGGACGGACAAAGGGAGGGGAGCCTGTGAGAGGGGATATCCATCTAAAAGTGTCGGGGACTCGTCGACTCGCTTAGGGGTGTAAATTGCAAATTTTGGTCTCACTTAGGGCGTTTGGGACGAAAGGCCAATAGTTTTTGCTATAAGGGTATCACCTAGGGTCGTGCGCGGAGAAATATCCGGCCATACAAAAAAGGCAAGAGATGGATATCAGAAGTCCCTCAACACACTTACTGTTTTGAACGATCTGCAAGTTTATTTGAGCTGTTTTCCTTCTTCTCTTCTTCGTTCTCCTCCTCCTCCTCGTCACTGTATTCTGCCAGCTCAGAAAGTCTTGATGTGAACTCAGCTTCACTGAGATGGCTGAAGTTACTCTGCATATCATCCTCACTTTGATAGAAAATATCGAACAGTAGAATCAGAAAAATTCTTCTAAATAGTACATAAAAGTGTAGTAGTTAATAACATGTAGAAAACAGAAAAAAACGGCGCGAACGTCGAACTTTTCATGGGACGAGCCAAATTGCCTTTTGGGTCGACCTTGATTTAGTTACGGCCTTTGTTGGATGAAGCGTGGAACTTTAACCCAGCGTCGAACTAAGAAAAGAAAAAGATATGACGCGAAAAAGTTTACAGTCGTACGGTGGAACCCCGCTATGTGGAAAATCATCGTTTTCTCGACGAACACCACTGCTATTGCTTCAAACGGGGCACCTTTACACCATCTATCCGTCTGATTGGACTGATAGAACGCGTTTTGCCGATCCAAACTCAGTAAAACGAACTTAATCTGACCAAGAATTTAGAAGAAGTTAACTCACTCAGTTTGATTTGTTGCATGAAAAATTCGACGTTTGGCCTTAGCCTTAGTTACTTTTGTGCAATTTCTGCAAGTGCCAGGCATATTATCTGATATTATATATCATATAACATAGGGACAGGACGAAAAAAGACGCAACGCTACACTCTAAACATTTGTCGATTGTACTTCTCAAAAATGTTCTTTTGTAGCAAAATGTTTAAAACACTCCCCTGAAATGGAAGGTATTGTAAAACTAAGGTAAGGCAAGCCAAAAAAGCCAAACCTACAAGCGGAGATCCCGCTGAAACCTGATCGCTTGCAAGAGTCGAATGCACAAATTTTCACGCAAGTTCAAGATAAAAAATAACAAAAAGAATGAGATCATCCTTGAAAGCAAATAATTTCATTTTGCGAGCATGAAATGCAGTCTGACTTCTCAGATCACAGAACACGTACATGAGAAAATGTGATAAGAAGATAAGTGACCAACTACTTTGGTCGATCTTAATATATTTTGATGTCATCTTTAATCTAAAAGGACACACGAAAAAGTTGAATCGATTTGTTAAATTGCACAAGCGCCATTGTTTGTTTTTACATCAATCTACATACTCCACTTTTCCTTCCTTTATGAATTCACACTTCACTTTTGCTCCCAGCCTTGCCGAGGAAATTTTCTTCGAGAGAGCTTTAAATTCCATTTCTAAGTCAAATCTAAAAACAAATATAAGACAAGAAGAAGTAGAAGAAGAAAAATATAGAAGAATCATATTATAAAAATAATACAGTACTGATAATAATAATGATAACCGATTTAACACATCATTGGGATGGGTATTGCTATTAAAAGGGTCAAGTGAAAAAACGAATTACAAATGTGTCTAAGGGAGATTTACTCAGTGATTTTCACTGCTTTACTAATTGAACTTTGCAAAGATCTTGACTGTCATCAATGGCCACTGTCATCTTGTTAAAAACCTTAAAGACCTGTTTAAGCAAATGTTTGCTGTTGACAAGATGTTTCCATTTTTGCTTTTGCATTCTAGCATACAAGTTAACCCATAGACGGTATAAAGACAAATTTAAAAATTACTTTCAAAACTCAAAATGGCTGGTTATCTTGTGATTTTCAGCTGTTCACAAGCAATATTTAAGAAAATAGCAGCAATCAATATAATGACTGGCAAAAGGTCTGCACAAGCTAAATTGTGATTCTTTCAGTAAAATTTTGAGATCATTTTAATAGGTTGAATAGAAGATGGTAAGGATATGACAAATGTATGTGGATGAATTAAAAAAATGTCTTACTGAGCAAACGTTTGCTGAGAACAAAATCATTGCCTTGTATTTGTTTGCATTTTTGTGTAAAATCTGTGCAGTATAATCAACCGCCAATCTAAAGGAGGCTTAACAGTAAGTACCCTTATTCACTCTTTCAGCTTAGGGAAGGAGAAGCAGTTATTAGAAAGGGGTCTTTACTTCCTACATTTTGGACATAAAGGGGTGTTTATTTGAAGATGGGCATAATTCAAGCATTTAAGTAATCATCTTACACTTCACTGTGAGCTGAAGCATATTCTGCCATGTTACACGGAAATAAAGCAAGCTTCTTTCTTGCATCGGGAGTAACCTATGAAACATAATAGATTTCTATGAAGTCAAACTCGTAGACAAGTCTACACACCAGAAGCTATATCTACTATCAGGAGTTTGCACACCACTCCCTCAACCCCTTCTATTCCTTTTTCTCACAATACATAGCCAGTAAGCTGCTACGAGCTGGTTTTCAGTAAACAGAAGTCAACACCAAAGTACATGTAGTGCTATAGAAAACGTTACAGTAGTACATGTAAGCTGCATGAGCAGCTATCTTGCACTAAGAAAACTATAGGACTTCACTCATCTGACCTCCACTGCTATGTGAAAACTCAGTTTCAAGCCCCCCTCCTTTAATTTAGTACTGAAACTTCTAAAACAAGACACTGAAAATGTTATGTTTGAAACTGAATTAACAGTTGGTGGTTAAATTTTTCTTTTTCCAAGTAGAGGTGTGAAAGAATTTGGAAAAGAATTAGAACCACTTTTAGCTTCTGATCAATAATTAAATTTCATGAAAGACCAATTAACTGGGACTTTTAAGCTGCGATATGCTTACACATCCCACCTCCCTGCAAGGCCCAAAAAGTGTACTGCATGTGCAAAATTGTTGTTTTGCTAATCTGACCCTATTGCTTTTTTGACCTTCTCGTTGCCATTGCATCCTGACATCAGAGGCCACAACTGAGTGTGTTGTTAGAGAATTAACAATCTATGTGGGGAGGATCACTTACATTTTCAAGGACAAACATGTAGTCCTTCTTTTTGAACATGATACCGGTAAAGTCCTGTTAAAAAATAAGAAATTCAGATCAAGACTCAGAATTAATTCTTCCCGGTATAGTCTGTTGTATTTACATTCATTAGACGGGCATGATGATCTATCTACCAGCAGTCATGATGTAAAGATTCTCATTCATATCAAATTACCGGTATGTGCACATCTAACAAAAATATTAACTTGTGAAATATAGACAATAAATTTTTTTGTCAGTGTTTGTTCTAGGTCCATGTTAAGCGCTACTTATATACGTACAAGACTAAATAAGAACACTGCTAAATTAAGTGTTAAGTGCATGGCTGTTTCTCTTGAATCAAGAGTAAGTGATGCAGACATCTAAAATTTAAATTTGTGAAATTATATGGGATTTGTCAAGATATTCTGAAAGAACAACATGCAAGATGCCTACTTGCCAAAAATAAGCATTTTGGGGCAAAATGTCTCTGAGATATATTGGCCCAGTTATAAAATGCACCAGATGATGACTCCATACAAATCCTTCTAAATTGTACTGTGTACAAAACCCTATCGGGCAACCTCTTCGGCAGTACTTTGTGGTAGTGGTTTTTTTTTTATCATTTTACAAAAGGAAATTTATAAATTAAGTGTTATTTTGAGCATATATGGGCAGTGATATGCCCTTGGGTGCAGGACAGACTTTTACTGTAGTGTATTATTTATGTAAAGGTGCAAGGAAAAAGAAGGAAACAAAAATTAAAAGCTTAAATTTGTACCTTATAAAGTGTAACAACCAACTCCACAGAGTTGGGTGGGAACCAGTTGGCAGCATAGCTGACTACTCCTGTCTTTTCATCCACTATTGACACTTTTGATGTTGGCTATGAAAATTAATCATCACAAAGACAATTTTGTAAAATTGTAAACTGTGAACTGTAATTTTTTTACCTACATTAAGCACTTAGGCTTTCTCAAAAACTCGTGTAAATGTGTGCTCCAGATTGAACTGAAATTCGGAATTTGGAAGTGGTGGTTTTTCGGGAGAGGGGAAAGCTGGAGTGCCTGGAGAAAAACCCCTCAGAGCAAGGGAGAGAACCAACAACAACGTCAACCCAAATACACTGTATATGTATGTTGCCACTAGGTGGGAGACCAGTGCTTTCACCATGGTGCACCACCCTTGCTCCCTACAAAGGGTGGAACAATGAAAGACACTCAGGGGTCACTACCAGTAATTCCTTAAACACTGAATAAGAAGGGAAGTGAAGAAAAAAGTTGAAATTAAATTGTTCTTATTGGGAAAAAAGTTTTTTTCATTTCTATCAATTATGCGGTGTCACCAACAATGACATTTACAGGAAACACCATTAAAACCAAAACAGTTTAAAACAAAATACATTTTTTCAATGACAAAGATTGGAACTGTCTCTTTTAATAAATTATGCTAAAATGTTGGATTGGAGCTAAAATATCATCCTTGTTTTAACACAGTTCCATGTTCTAACACAGTATATTTAGAATATTTCATAGATATTAAGTAATGTTGACTTCTTTATAAAATACATGAACAAGATAAAAGTTGCAGTAGTTACCTTCTCAGATACTTTAGATCGGTGGCCTCGGAACCAAACAATACTCAAACAAGTTGGTTGCCTAGTAGAGATTAATTATTGACAGTAGATTAGCTACGTACAATCTATCGGGGTACCAATTGTTTGTGTCCCACACGGTTTAGCTAACCTTGTTTGTGCTATCATGCACTGTTCATATCGTTTGAATTCCCTCCCTGCCTCCCTGGGGGGTGTGAACAATACTGGTGAATCAATAAACCAATGTTTACGCCCAAACGTGTCTCATGTTCATTCTGCGTGTTATTATCGTTGGTCAGTAAATTTCGAGTTTTGATTGTATCAAATTGTGTATAAATCATAAAGCATAATATTAACTGGATCAAGAAGCACTTTGAAAAATTAAAATATCTGAATATTTATTCAAATTAAATTTTCAAAGTCCCCAAGTGGAGAGTGCAGTTCCTATGATGGCTTATATGGGGAGGCTCCACCCAGAAAGGTGCGCACCTTTGTCAGACTTCGGGTATACCAAAGTATGGGTAGGGAATTCATGGGTCGAGGCAAGGCTGTGCTCTAGCAGACCCTGCTAGCCCTTGGCTACTATAACTTTTGCTCTTGGGGCAACTAGAAAATCTTCCTTCTTTCACACATATCATATGCTAGGCACCCCAGATTTTACAGGTTCACTTACAGGCTCCCTTCAATTTTCCTTGGAGCACAGCCCTGGGTTGAAGTATATGAAAGGTTAAGGAAATCTGTCATTGTGTTTTGTGAAAAGTCTCAAAAGGGCTAACATCCACATTTTATGGCTATCAAAGGCAGTACATTTACAGCTGTTAATACATATAGCTTTGTCAAATATACTCCCCAACACCCCCCTCCCCCACCCCCACAAATGCAGTTGAAAGAGAATAGGCATTATGTAGGTACTTAATCAGTACAAGTAAAAGCTTCTAAACCTAAAGATGACAAACTGTTAGAAACATTTTGATGATGTGGTACTGTGCAGAGTCTGAAGTTTCCCTAACATTACCGTAAGCAAAAGGCTGTTCCACACTTGTTGGGGCTCATTAGCATGGCATAACCACCGGACCCATGAACGAACAAAACAGTGTATCATAGGCCCTTTACTGCCAAGGTAAAGTGCAATAGTACTCCTTTAAGCGCCAGCTCCACACAACACATGTGGGAGCTGTTGGCTGGGAACTGCATGGCAGTTCTCCTGTGGCATGCACAGGGACAGAAGATCAGCATTTATGCTGCTCTGTGTGCCAGTAAATCAAATAAGACAAACTGTAAGCAAGGGGCACACACACACCAAGGGTCAAACAGCTGTCCATGGCCACCACTGCCCGGGGATATGGCTGTGTGCATGCATGAGGTACTGGCCAGGTCATGAGTTGGTTTATTTTGGGTTGGTTTATTATACTTGGAGATACTAGCTCTCTCAAGCTATTCCAAATCTGAGTTTAAATAAAGTTATATGTATGTGTATGTATATGTATTTGTGCTCCTTGCTTACAGTTTGTCTTCCTCTTTTTCTTATCGACTCCAACTAAATTTTTACCTAATAACTAAATTTACTGCTTTCTACAATACTTATCCATCGGTTACAAAGTGGTTTATCCAGGGCGTAGAGTTGCATGCATGGGGCTGATTAGGGAACATGAATCATGGTAAAAAGGAATTTCCAGGGATAAACAAAAACCGGACAAAATAAAACTGGGGAAACTTTTTGGGGGGATGTTTTTAACCAACTGAAAGTGAATTTGCACTTATTTAATTCTGGGCTAAGCCATGTAGTAAACTTTTTTAAAAATTCTGTTCTTCCAAATCATATCTTGTTAGTGCCGTCACGCAATATATGCACCTTGCGTGACAGCAGTGAGGAAGACAAGAACAGCCACACTAGTTCTAGCTAACGAATATAGAAGAGATTCGATTGGAAAACTGTTTTCCAAAAAAAGGCAAGCTGGGTCTAATATCTGTCACCATGAAAAGAAAACAGGAAAAAGTCGAAGGAGCGAGAAAGGATGGGGGCAGCCAGATGATGGAACGATCAAATTGAAAACATTCGAAGAATTCGACATGAATCTACAGGAAATATAAGCTTATTAAGCTAGGCTATTACGCTTTCGAATTTTAGGTTTTAATTTGGTCGTAGAGCTAGAACATTCATTACAATATCATTAATGTAAATAAAGGAATAACTAAATACCCTCAATAATTAAATTACTTGTTAAACAATCACACTAAAATTGCGCTATTACTAGGTGTCGCTAGTTACGAGGAAACAGCGAACGTAAGAGAAAAATACCTGATATTGATGCTAAACAAAATTTTTAAAGTTGTTTGTACCGTGTTTGTTGTCTAGAGAGCTCTCTGTTAATATGTTCAATATAGAAGAATCGTCACAAACACGTACAACAACCAAGAACAAGCAAAGGCTTCTGTCATGTTCTGTGTCTACATGTAGTTGTTAACTTCCTCTCAGACATTGACGTTCTAATAAACAGCCACCTCAATCACAAATAACTCGTTCTTTTAGAAACAAAACCCTTAACTTACCATCTATTATTGCATTTTAGGTCCACGTACTCATAAGTGATCGTAAATCGGAATTTGCAAGCATTTCCCTTGATGGATTTAGAAAGTGACTTACGAACACGCTCACGGAGAGCCGTGCTACTCATGGCAGGGCGGATAAAGGTTGGGCGGTGAAACGAGCGCTCCGCTCTTCATTTAATGTGTAATGCGGAGTAGGACTGGCACGAGCGCTCTTTCCGCGCTTCCGGTGCGCTTGAAGGCCGGCGAAATTTTCCTTTTTGGAAACCGGAAATACTATTTTCTTTCTGTAATTTCAGGCTACAATGTTTAATAGATAAATTTGTTTCATAACAATATCAATAAACAGTTTTATATGTTTGTGTCTGTACGTCTATAAGTCAAACTTGTTGGTAATATATATCCAAATTTTGAGTTTAATTTGAAAGTGTTGAATACCTCCTCCTTCCACTAAATATCACCTGACTGTCTTTCGCCGTTTCGTTTGCAAAAGCTTAACACTTCTTAAACTCAATTTTTACATATGTTAAAGGGGGATGAATTTTATATAACATAACAAAAAATTAGATTGATATATATTGATATAGTGGCGTTGTACTTCTTCAAACTTTGCTTCTCGGGTGCAACGCGCCATGGCGATTCGCGCAATGGGTTGCAAATCCGGCAACTGCATGTATTAAAACAAAATTTATTGAGGTTAGTTGTAAGGTTTTTCTCCGTTTTTCTCTCTAAAACAAAACAAGGTAAACAATAAAAACTGAGGGGAAACTAATTTTGAAGTTTCGAAGAAACAGAAAGACGTATGAGATGTTTTTTTCAAAATTAAAACATGAAAAAGATGATGGTGATTGAAATTAGCATAATCTCACCTTGCACGAGCTGCACGCATTTATAAAATACACGTCATCTTGTTATGAAACACGATCTGCTGTCTTTTAGTTTTGCCATGGATGACATGGATGAGATTTTCCTTCGTGTTCTAGACAGTACTTAGTTGTTTTTGTTTTGGAATAACATCGACATTGGCGAGTAGCAGAACGAAAATATAATTCAGTGGTAGAGTCATGGAAGTAATAAAAGAAACCCTTTGAAAGAGATGTTTGTCTACTCCAACTAAACCTCCCGCAAAAAATAGCAACATTTGCCTCTCGGAGACAGTGTACCAGCACAAAGGAACGAGGAAGAAGTGCAAGAAAACAAATCAAGCTGCCATAATTTAGTGACAGCGGCAGTGTCTTATGTACAAACCACATCGCAAGCCCTGACCGAAGTCGAAAACAAGCGACATTTCTAAGGAGAGTCCCAGTCTACTGCATCAGACCTTTTTGCTCGGACACGCTCGTTTCACCGCCCAACCTTTATCCGCCCTGACTCATGGCAAGCGAGACACAATTGAGGGCAAAAACTTCGCCCGTCTGCTGGTGTTGCTCTCCAACAAGGGCCAAAGAAAAGGTCAGAACTAAAAAATCCTCGAAAAAAGGCAGGGTATTCCGATCCTTTACATCAACGTCTCAACTTCCGCAACGATAGACAAATAATGACATGTCAGTGAGGTGGAAATCTGGAGAGGTTTGATTATATCTCAAAAATTCCAACACAATCGAGAAAAATCCAAAATCCCGCTGCTATTCCTAGGTCCAGTCTCCCAGACCGATTCACATCACCAGAGATCTGAGTAACAGCCTAAACTCGGGCAAAGTTTTACTATGTAGCTCGGGCCGACCCAGCCGAATTTCATCCGATTGCTTCGAGTCGTTTTCTGCTCTCAGCAACTGAGGGAGTAATAACGACTCGAAGCAATCGGATGAAATTCAGGCTACTGTCCGACCAGCCTTGCCTTCAATTTTAAGAGGTACACTTGAGGGTGTTCACACACATAAACAATGAAGGTTCTGTGTCAAAAAAAGTGACAAGGTGTAAAGGTACAGTAAAAATAAAAACGGGCAACAACCGGAATAACTTATTTTGCCACATTTTTGCAAAACGAGTTGAATGGCAACGTTGTGCGTTTTACCAATCACGAATCAAACCTGTCTGCAACAACTCAGTTGGTTTTTGCAAGTTGCGTTGACTTCTGATTGGATAAAATTATGCCGAAGTCAAGCCATACACGGGATTTATGCCATGTATAGATCTCAAATCTTATGTTAACTGAACTCGGCATTCATCACATGCAAATACGAATGAATGCGTTACTTTACGACCAAACGCAAAAAAGAAAGCATTGTTCTTAAACGACAGAGCTTACAACAGAAGAAATTTTGGGGAAAAAGTTTAAATCCTGCAATGGAATAAGCGACAGACCATAAAGAATAGAAATGCCATAAGAGGACCAGACGCTGATAGTTTGCTTTTATTCAAAACTATCATAGTAAACGGTAAAAGGTTACATACCTAATATATGCTGATTTTGAAGCCCTTGTGCAAAAAAAGGGTTGTTCGCTTACGTCGTCTATGAGTATACCGGTAACCACAGCACGAGAGCTATGATTGAAAATCCAAACTACAATTTAAAATCCATTGAAAAAAACCGACGAACAAATGTTCTAGTTGGTTTGAAAACCTACGGATGGGCAATATTAGCAGTGATCAAATGAAAATGATCTCTTTTACAATGTAAAACACCACTGAGCAAAGTTGGTAAGACACAGCCCTATCGTCACCGCATATAACACCATTTTCTTGTAGTGGCTAATTTAAACGAATCGTTGTTGCTTGGTTATCACCGCTCAGTTTGAGTAAATTTACATTTTAATACTGACAAGGATAGTAGTGTTTCCTTCGACAGATATTTAACAGATGAGTAAACGCAATGTTTCCGCTGGGGTAAACATGTGGATACTTCCAATGCGAGCAGAGGCCCTTCGATCTTCCTAGGTAGGTCAGGAAGCTAGGAAGATCGAAGGGCCTCTGCTCGTAGGGTAAATATTTTGATGAAAACAAGCTTCTTCAGCGTCTAAAACAAATGAATATGGGCCGACGATACACGGTTCAAATTCAAGTATGCAAATCCGGCTTAGTATTTTACTACCTAATTCGCATAATAGTTAATGTACCATATTTGACAGACTTGTACCAAATTTACTCTTCAAAACAATCGTTTCAATCGTTTTTTTCTTCTCAAAATCGGCTTTACAAGGCGCGAAGCGCGAAGCGCCTGTATGATATTTTCGGTCTCTCACGCGCGTCCTAGACAAGAACATGGCCTGTTTTGCGGTCCATACTAAATTCTACGTTGTTCATTATTTTTGGATGATGGGTGGTCTGTTTATCCTTCATATCATGTTGAAACGTTGACCAATGTGTACTTTTTTAAGTTTTTCTTCAAACCAGACAAAACTGTTGCAAAAATTTTTATTTTCTCTTCCTTAATCCAAAAAATTAGTGCGTCAAAGAGACTCCCGGCCGGAGGCTAAAACTAGCCAATAATTGGCTAGAGCTGCTGTCTATTTCCTTTGTGCAAAATTTAGTGGAAATCGGAAGTAATGTCGATTTTCACGATTTTTTTCCGAATGATCACCTCAGGCATCATTTTTGAGGTAATTAAGAGTTAGCCTCGACCAACGGCGCCTCACTTCACAAACTGATTTGAGCGCCTTTGCAATTGGACTTCAACGACTTAAAAATGCAGTTGAAGATTTTACCCTTCGTTTCTTTCCTTGCGTATTTGAGCATAAGGTAAGAAAACCTACAGAATTCGAACCGGCTACCTTCGTAACTTCTTGCTTTAACCACAGCTAAACATCTGAATATTACGGTCTTCCCAGTCACTGGTATTCTATGAGCCGTACGAATTAGGACAAAAAACAATTTAAGTCTTCGCTCTGCGATAACAAGAGATATGTGACAAATGTAACAAGAATTTTGTAAAAATCTGAATGTCAGGGTCTTACTCGGGTACAGGAAATTCCGGTCAGATTAAGTTTTGTTTCTGATATTTTTATATAGTCAATTTTTACTCTTTCACAAGTAGAAGTGCGCATTCCTGTCCGATCCTTTACGAGACTAGTAATGGTTTGTCTGTGAAGCTAAGTGAAATCGAGAAAACGATAACTGTAGCACGAATTCGAATTGTCGCAGTATTAGTTGCCACTGAACAAATGCGATGCCGGAATAAATACGGCCTTAGTTGACCACTATGGGCACAACAGATGCGTCTAGCGTGCTCGCAGCAGCAAAACTGATGTATTTCAAAAAAGGCTGTAGAAAAGTCTTACAATGTATTACTAGTGGTGAGTACCGGTATATTGACTACATAATGCCGGGAAAAACTTTTATCGTTCAGACAAAATATCATTCTGCGCCCCAACTATTTTGTTCTTTTTCACGCAGAACTACGATTTCCTGTCCGATTCTATTTAAGAACAACCATGGAAAGAGTTTCAAGATCGGCGAAATCGACGTCGAAAATTGCAGTGCACAGGGGAAGTGTCAGGTATATATACCAGTCTACTGGGCTTTTTTGATTTAAAGAAAGCTGTCGTGAGGGACTCTTGCATTGTTAGTGTTAAATAATACATTAGATCGTTTCTCTTTTTTCCCGCTTAGCGCCACCAGCATGTAATTGTTTTAAATGTTCATTGATTTTTTCAAATTTTTCGTTGGTTATGATTGGGCAAATTTTTTACTTTGGTTCTAGTGAGGCAATAGAATGAAAATGAACGGTTTTAACAGCTGAAAATGCCACAGTCGTAAGAAAGACAAAGCAAAATTCACAGTCAGCTGTACAGTGTTTGGTTTAAGCATTTGACAGTTTCGCCATGGATTGACAATGATTTTTTTTTCCCTCTCTCTCCTTTCTTTATAGCAAGGTTTGATTTACCAACAGACAATGACTCCTACTTGGCTGGAAGCACATGCGTCCTACATCTACAGGGCTCGAAAATCAACCGCTGACCAAATAACATTCACCACAGGCCACACAGCAAATGCTGTTCTTTTCAGAGTTGCCTTGATTCCTCCTGGTCTCTTTAAGAAACCCACTCCACTGACCATCGAAATAACCCTCGCCATGGACATAAGTATCGGCCAATCCACGGACAGCGATATCATCTTTGGAGTCTCAGACGCAAGCAAGTTTGTTGGGTTCATGATCGCAGACAAATCAAATTACCATGACCACGCACCC